GAGGTAAGTATGAAATCAAAAGAAGAGGAAAAAAGCAACACCACCAACCATCAAATGGCACTTAGGTAGTCAACCAGTGTAGGTGGGTGGAATCCAAGCAGCCAGTGCTTCTGGACAAGAGACTGTGACCGTTGGAAGCATAGGCGGCTGAGTGGGGGTGAAGAAGTGTAGGGGCTGGGAAAGCGTATATTGCTAGTTATTGGGCATCAGCTGATAAGGGACCTCTCCATGTATGTCTCCTCACTCTCTGTTCTCTGTCAGTTTCTTATTCCATTTGGTGCTTGGCTGAGTTCTTTATCTCTTCATTTGATGTTTAGGGTTTCAGGATTGCTGTTTTCTCCGTTTGGCTTAGTTTTTCAGATCTTTGCTGTGGAGGGATGGTGTGGTGCTTCTGCCTAGAGCGCCATGTTGCTGGAAGTCCAAATTTACTGACAACCAAAAATCATCAAGCAAAATAATATTGGGTTAAATGTATGCTATTCTCTGTGAAGACATGATTTTCAGTGGTAACCCCCAATAATAACAAAGTGCTAAGAAGTAATCGATTTTGTCCAGGTGATGTATATATGCATGTATTTGAATTTTAAGCCACAATACTTAGTAAAATATCATTTAAATGAAAGTTTATCTTTAAATTTTTTTAGAACAAATTTAGCAACACTGTACCTGTAAGGTAGTGGTTTTCTTGTTTTATTCAGCAAAATGTTTAGCCTCCATGGAGGTTTAAGAAAAAACAGGGACAAAAGAGAGGTTCTCCAACTCCCTCTCTTCAACCAAAGCAATTTTGCTTCAGTTGTTTTTTCTAAAAGCTCATTGAAAAGCATTTCTCTGGTACTTTTTTCTATGTTTGAAAAACTTCTATAGTGAGTTCAAATATGGTCAAATGATGGCATCTGCCAAGAACTTCTTCCATTTGGCAGCAGAGTCCAGTATCACATTATTCCGGGCCTTTATCAGAGAGTTCATGTAATACAAAACTTCATCTATCTACCTAAATATGTATCTATTAATCTATCCATCTATCTATGTGTATCTTCACCTTGAAAATATGGAAGACCAAACATCATCATTCTTATTATGACCCAAATTGTAGTGAAAATATACCCTAAAATTAATACAACAATTTAATAATTACTAATTGTAAATAAACACATCCCGATGAAATAAAAATTTAAAATTTCTTTTGATTGACAAAAATTATGCACAGAGTAACTTCTTCAGGGGAAAAAAAAGTTTCCAGAAGATCAAATTAATGTGAGATTATCTTAGTTTCCTAATGCTGCTGTAACAAAAGTATCACAATTGAGTGGCTTTAAAGAACAGAAATTTGTTTTCTCCAGTTCAGGATGCTAGAATTCAGAATGTCTAAGGGAGAAGTCCTTCTTTGTTTATTTCATCATCTAGTAGCTGGCAATCCTTAGTTCCTTGGAGAGCTTCATGTGGCATTTGTCTTCCCTTGTTTGTGCTTGTTTGTTTCCGTTTCTATGCTGCTCCTTATAACTCAGAAGTGGTTAAGTTTAGAACACACCCTATACTGTTATGGCCTCATTAACATAATAAACATTACAAAGAAAACCCTATCGCAAAGGGGGTTATATCCACAGGTACTGAGGTTAGAATTCCAGCATGTATTTTTGGGGAACAGAATACAATCCATAACAGAGATCCAACATAATTTTTTAGTAGAAATCATTTTTAATTTTCCAAATTAATCCTGACACACATTAATTTTATATACACACATACAGACTCAGGTATTACAACTATAAAATTTTACTGTAAAATTAAAAAAATTAATGGTCAGCCCAAGAGAATTGCCAAGTCCCTTAAAAAAGATATCCACAGTTGATCACCCAGAATGACATTATAATGACTGACATTTATTGAACACTTATTATATGCCTTATATGAATTTATTCCTTTATTCTTCAGACAACTTTATGGTTTGGATACCATTATTATTGTCTTTTAAAAATGTAGAAACTGAGGCTAAGAGACGTAAGTATCTTGTCAAATTTGCACTTCCAAGAAACAGTACAACTGGTATTAAACCCAGGTAAAAAGATAACAGATTATCTTACTTTTACTCCTACACTCAGGGGAAGAACCAGGTTCTGCAGAGCCTTAAGTATCTACAATCTGAGGAAGCTTGATAAGGAAAAAAAATCAAAATTATGAATGAAATGTTGTTAGGACCTCAACTAACGGCCTTGGAGGACACCCCATGCAAACAAGGTTACCTGAAACTTGCTTCACTAACTTCATGGTAAATCCAACATCATTACAATTCTGAAATTTCCCTCAAACACTTTTGGAAGTATACATCATTTAAAGTTTTTATTTGTGATTTCATATATTCAATCCCTTCATATATTACAATTTACATTTTTATTTTCATCTAGACCTGATTTTAATAGTTTTTTTCACCTGCACTCAATTATTCTGCTTAATTTTATAAGACAGTTCAGTTTTCATAATTTTAAAAATCTCAGAGGTTGGTATTATCAAGCTTCATGGCTCCCCAAACACCTAAAGGATGATGAGATACTTGTTAACATAGTCTTCTTATAAATCCTTCATATCTCAACACTCCTGCAATTTTGTTATTAGAAATAGTGCAGACCATTAAAAACTGTCCTCAACCTGGTATGTTTATCTATATTAGCTGGATTCTGTTTGTCTAGTATGTTTTGGATAACATCATTTCTGCCTTTGGAGGCTCTGGTGACACATGGCACCATCCTTACTGCTGTTTATGGAGCCAATAACACCTCTGCTGCCCTTGCCCTTGGTACAGGATGTCAGCAGTGTGTTGAAAAAACAACGATAACATCATTCATCAATAACTCCCAATTAAGATTTAAGTATTTATATTATCTGTAGCTCTATCTTGGATAGTGATTCCTCATGATGAGTCACCAGAGAAGGTGAATATCTACAAGTCCTCCAGAGGCTGTCCATGGCCTTTTTTCATTCTCATCTGCAGAGCTTTGTTATCAAACCAGGTACGCAGATCATTGACTTGTCTTATACAGTTGTCTGCTGATCAGTTACACTTTGAGGGTTTTTTTTTTTTTTAAGATGTTTTTGGGTTTTAGAATTCTCCACGAAAGCACCAAAGATTGATGGTATCCCTTTAAAAAGACTCCACATTTTTACATTGCAAACAAACAAAAACACAGTTGATTTTTAAAAATATTTCCAGGCCAAACAAATATGTTATTTGAAGGAACTATTTTGGGTATTTCTAAAACATCAGTAAAAAGTCTTCTAAATGAATGAGGTCCTTGATCCTGAATATATTTACACATATAATTACAACAGAGAGAAGTTTCACATATACAACCTAAATTGGTTCATTTTATCCTTATTTCAGATAGAATTGTGCGATTTGATTATTTTGCTGATATAAACACATTTCATTCTCATGATAATACTGTCAACATTCTTATCCAACAACTTCGTGTCTACCTGAGATTCAAACACAATACCACATAACTGTAACCTGGAAAGTTGTTCCCTTATTTGTTGAATACATTAATGAATGGGGAAAAAGCATAAACACACATACACGGATGAAGGAAAAACACGTTCCTCTTATCATTTGGCTTAAAATAGAAAGTTAGGAATTTCCTTTTCTAAACTTCTCTCTCATCAGTAATAATTAGTGTGTATACAATCTTGGTTTCCTCTATTTACTCAATAATGCCAGAAAAGAATAACTTGATATTTATCAAATACTATGGTTGCAAGATAGATCATATACTAGGCATGATATTTTATAAATATCACTTAGTAAATTTCAAGTAAAAATTAATTATTTAATGTATGCCATCATTTAAAAAAAAAAATGATTTGACAACCATGGCACCCAGAAGTATTTCTCATGACCTTCAAGACTTGCAATTCCAATTCCAGCAAGTGGTAGAGATAGCTTATGTACCTTAAAGCTAATATTGTACCTAACTTTCTTTTTTAAACTATTTTACCTTATGAAGCCTATTTCTATACATAAATGTGGTTATAACATTGACAGTGTATCACTAAGAACAAATTTCTTGTTTTTACATGCAAACATTAAAAGTAAAAAATAATTTAACCAAAATGGAAAGCAATATAATACTTTAAAAAGAAAATATAGGTTCTCCATAAGTCTCCACTTATTATTATAATTTAATTCTGGTTTTAACTTCCCAGGCATTAAACTGCCATGCTATTGAATAAAGTCTACTGCTTTGCAACTTATTTCATAATATTCTCTGATTTGCAGAACCCTCCAGCCTCTCTGATTCTGCATTACCAAAAGAAGTTACTATGGCTACATTGCTCTGCTTATTTGCTAAGAATGAGTGGTGAAGACTCCTCCACTTAAAGCATTTTCTTTGGACCTCATCAACATTTGTAATGAAATAAAATCCTATACTTCCTTTAATAGAAGAGATCACAAACAGGTTAAATGTTAAGTAGGAGTAGCTGAGGGATGTATGTAGAAAAATCATTGCCCGTCTGTCAGAGGTTGAGCTCCTGCAGCAGTATGGATTCCCTGAGGCTTATAGAAATTTTGCTAGTTTGTCATACTTAGGGGGCAACTCTCTGAGTTAACTCAGAAGCTAGCTGTAAGTAAATGCCACGGTCTCCTAGTTCTCTGGTTGCTTATCCTTCCTCTTCTAATTCTTTGTTCCTGTTTTCCAGTTAATGTATTATTAATATTGAATCTCTTAACTGAAACCATTACTCCTGACATTTTTTTATAGACGGTATTTGCATCTGCAAGAAATTGTTTCTTTCAATTTACTCTTCTGAAATTTAAAATGTATTTTGAACTTATAAATGAGAGTACTTTCAAAATGCACTTACCTTTTACCTTCACAAATTCTTGGCAATTACAATTTGATGATGGCACTTGAAACAAGAGCTAACACAGGATTGCGACCAATGCTGTGTATACAAAAACTGGCACTTAATGCCTAGCAAGTTAAAACAAGAATTTAATGAGGGATTGCCTTGTTGGAGTTTAGAAACCTATTCTTCACTTTCCTCATGGCCGTCTTAACTTCTTGATTCCTCAAGGTATAGATTACCGGTTCAGAATGGGGGTAAAGATGGTATAAAACACAGACAGGATCTTGTCTACCAGAAAGTTGCTTAGTGACCACATGTAGATGAAGATGCAGGGTCCAAAGAACATGAAGACAACAATAAAATGAGCGGTGCAAGTGGAAAGGGCCTTGGATGATCCTCCTGAAGAATGATGCTTGATAGTAACCAGGACAGTAACGTAAGAAGTAAATAAAAGTATAAAACAAGACAAGGCAATTATGCCACCTGCTGAGATCATAAAGAGACCCAGAACGTAAGTACCTACATAAGCCAATTGGAACACCACAGGAAGGTCACAGAAAAAGCTATCTATCTTATTTGGACCACAGAATGGTAATGTACGGGCAAATATAACCTGGCTCATTGAATGCATGACTCCCACAACCCAGGCAGCCACCACAAGAGCAACACACACTCGGGGGCTTATGATTGAAGCATAGCAGAGGGGTTTGCATAGTGCGATATACCTGTCAAAGGACATAGCCATGAGTAAAATAATCTCAGTACCAGTAAAAAGACGTTGAAAAAATATCTGGGTTATGCAACCATCAAAAGAGATGGTTTTGTGTCCAGTGAGGTAGTCTGTAATCATCTTGGGGGTGGAAAAGGAAGCAAGAGACATATCAGTGATTGAAAGATTGGTAAGCAAAAAATACATGGGAGAGTGTAGGTGAGAGTCAGCTATAACCGTGATGACTATGAGACTATTACCCACCATTGTAACCACATAAAACAATGAAAACACCATGAAGAAAAACATCTGTAGCTTCCAAGAATTATAGAGTCCCAGCAAAATAAATTCAGACACAGGTGATTTATTGGCAACATCCATTGTCTTACTTGATAGGTGGAAGCCTGTATCGAAGAAAAAAGTCAAGTGAAAGTAGTATTCCTTGAAGCAAATGCTCCATTTCTAGGAGTCTACTTTTCCTGAAAGGACAATGATTATTTGGTTTTCCATTTCAATATATTTTTTAAATTTTTTTATTGTACTTTAGGTGAAGGTTTACAGAACAAATTGTTTCTCATTAAACAGTCAGTACACATATTGTTTTATGACATTGGTTAACAACCCCACAACATGTCAACATTCTCCCTTCTTGACTTTGGAGGACCTTTATTTTTGTTTTTGGTGAAAATATACCCAGCCAAAGATACACCATTTCAAAAATTTCTACATGTACAATTCAGAGATATTACTTTCTTCCAGTTGTGCTGCTATTCTCACTATCCTTTTCCAAATTATTCCATCACCATTATCTTCAACTCATTGTCCCCTAGGCTTCCCATGAAACCTTTTGAGTTGCTGTTGTCAATTTGATCTCACATAGATAATTCTTTTTTTTTCTTTTGTGCTTTAGATGAAGGTTTACGGAACAAAAGAGTTTCTCTTTAAACAGTTAGTATACATATTGCCCTATGACAATGGTTAACAACCCCACGAAATGTCAACACTGTCCTTTCTCAACTTTGGGTTCCCTCCATTTCAACATTTTATGTGGCCATGTGTTGCCCAGGTTCCCTGTATAGAACATGAGGACACTTATTAATTAATGTCCTTTACATCAATTCAAACAATTGTTTCCTTGGTGTTTATTAGAACCCAGCATATGAATATGAAGATTTCCATGCTACCTTTACACTATAATCAGATGTTTCCTTTATTATATATTGTTTCACTTCTGTTTGGAAATTGTTCTGTCCCAAGTAAAACTTTTATTTTAATTCACTTGATAGTGATTTCAAAGACATTACTCTATTTGTCATGCCAAGTCAAAAATCTGAAAAAACTAACAATATGGTAACTCTAAACAGCATGCCTGCCTCTTCTGCAAATAATTTCATAAGTTTTCAGATAAAAATTTTTAAAGCTAAACAAATAATTTAGTTATACAGTTATAATGAAATAATTCACTCAGTGTCACATTTTGTTATTAATGTAATATCATAGTCTTCTAAAGTAGAGTATAAACTATGATGAAAACTTCTTTTGTTGGTTCTATTTATTTGATACTTTGTTCTGGCTTCTATTAAAGTGAGCTGCTAGGTTTCGAGTTAGGGTTAGACCTAGAATTAGGGTTAAGGTTAAGATTAACATTAGATCTAGGATTCGTGTTAGGGTTAAAGTAAGATCTAGTGTTAGAGTTAGAATTAGATATAGAGTTAGGGTTGGGGTTAGTGTTAAGGTTTGGGTTAGAGTTAGACCTAGGTTTAGGGTCAGGGTTAAGGTAAGGTTTTGAGTTAGGGTTAGGTCTAGGGTGTTCTTTTTATGACATTTAGAGTATAGTGTAAGTAATGCATGGTATTTTATTCTTGATATAATTAAGTGTAAATAATATTCCAGGATTAAGTACTGTATTTTTTCATAAATAACATGCCCACACATATAATGCACATAGCTTGCTTAGGAAAACAGCACCTGAGGGGGTAGCACAGTTGCCACAACATGTGCTATTTGTGTAAAAACACAGTAAAGAGAAATATTATCTTTATCCACCCAGTATAGTTAGTACACAGCTTTAATTTATTAATGGGCCACCTTAGCATTAAACTTTAAAGATGCATTGGAAATTGAGAGGTTGTTTTCCTTACTAGACACATGAAGTTTCAGTGTCAAGTACTCCACTTCAATAGAACCCCTAACAACTGAAGTATCAAATAAAATAGAACCAACAAAAGTTTTCATTATAGTTTATGCTCCACTTAAGGCTATGATATTACATTAATAACAAAACATGACATAGTGAGTGAATTATTCCATTATAACTGTGTAACTGTTTTTTAGAATGGCTCTGGTACAATCAAGACCTATTAATAAATTGGGTCATTTCTGTGGGGGGAAGTTTGGAGGGGATGAAAGTCACATATGAATTTCTGGCATCAGGTACATAGCGTACTAACTGATTAACATCTTGTTTCTAGTTGAATTGTTCTAGCAACGTGTATTCTTAGACTTAGTTTCCTCTATGAAAACTTGTATTTCCTATTCTTTCCATCCTTCTCATTTGGCATATCAGTTTCAAAGGGAATTATAGGATATTAAAGATTGCAAGGAAATCCCACATAAATCATAGATATTGCAAATAATACTTTCCCTTCTGCTACTAAATGGCAGTCACACCACAGTTATATCAGCCTGAACAGCCCTTCCTACCTATTTATTTATTCATCTATTAGTTTATATAATCCTAAAGATAATAGCTAACATTTAGTAGGCAGTTACTTTGTGCTAACAATGTGTTAAGTGTGAGTGCACACACACACACAGTCATTTATAATTCACCCACAAGGATATCTTTACTGAAAGTGCAAACAGACCTCATATACCAATTACATCACATGTAAGGGGCATGGGCTCTTAAGAAACATTATAGTGACACTTCAATTAATAGTCGCAGAATTCTTGTAAATTTCCAGAGAAAAACCGTTAACATACTGACAGATAAATGTTTCCTGGTTGAAACCCAGCAGAAACACATTAAGAATTAGTTTTTCTGATACTCGTCTAGTGGAAAAGGATTGATTCATTATCAAAGTTTACTATAATATAACTGCACAACCTAGGGAAAGATCTGGTCTCAACTTATCTTCAAAATATGAGTATCTAGAGTCTCTATGAGTTGGAATCAACTTGACAGCTATGGATTTGGTTTGCTTTTTGGTTTATTCCTCCTATAAATATTTATAATCCTATAACTTAAAAATTTACCCTTATCACCTAAAGAATATGTCATATCACTTTTATGGGAAAGAGTTCAAAGATCAGTCTCTTTAGCCCTACCTTTATTTCATTTTTCCCTCATATACACCAATGTACACAAACAGTTTTACTGATCTCATCTCCATGGAATAGGGATTAGGAGAAGGGAATGGGAAGGATAGACATTTAAAATCATTTGAAAGCACCTTCACTTACCAGATCTATACCAGAATCAGAGCTTTGGAATATTCAGAGTGATAAATAGGCTTCTGCCAGAGAGCATGTAGGAGGTCAATTTTAAATATAAATGACCTAGCTGAACCATTAGTTGTTAAGCAGCTGTAAATAAAACGGATGTTGTAGGGACTTGAGAGTTGACCAAGAAATCATCATGCAATGGGATTTGTTAAACAAAAAAGATGTTGTCATTGAGTTCACAAAGGGAAGATATTTCTAGAGTCTCATGGGAATTTACAGTGATTGTTTTCACCTGGACCTGAGACAGTCAGGGGAAAGAAGGTTGAAAAAGTCATCTTTTCCAGAGGCAACAGGAAATATGAGGTAAACAAATTTTAATAAGAGCTCTTGGTAATCTAACCCTGTTGTAGACACAGTGTAAAATAAAATCCAAAAACATTCAGTTCTGCCTCACAAGCAATTTACATTCTTCTTTGGAGATATTAAAACAAAACCCAATGCCGCTGAGCCAATTCTGACTTGTAGTAACCCTATAGGACAGAATAGAACTGCCTCATATGATTTCCAAGCAGCAGCTGGTAGATTCAAGCTGCGGACATTTTGGTTGGCAGATGAGCTCTCAACCACTGCACCATTAGGGCTCCATTAGAGATACTAGACATCCATAAAGAATACAATGGGTAAAAAATACAGCCAAATAAATTTAGTGAATTTATTTGTCAATTTTAGTGAATTTATTTAGTCAGTTCTCAGAGATCACGAGTGAAATGGAGAAAGGAAAACCTACAATGTGGGGAATTCAATAATAGAAGTGTTCTTGCAGGAGTTATGTCATGAACTTGTCCTAGAATGACAACTAAAATTTGGATCGGCAGTGGAAAAAATTTATGTGGAGGAAAACTGTGTCACAAAGACATAGAGGGAGGGGTTTAATAGATATTTGTTGAGTGAATGTTAAATGTTACTTTGAAGATTACCAAAATCAACTTATTTGCAGCAGAGCAAAGCTATTCAATTAGCTGTTAGGAAGAACAAGAATGCCATTTAAAATATGTAATTTGATGTAAAAGAAAACAAGGAACCATTGTAAGATCATACACAGAGTGAGGACAATTTGAAATTATCATTTTGTAAAGATTTATCTAGATGGTTTGGAGAAAGGAGAAATTTAAAGCAGAGGATTATTAAATAAAATAGGTAAAAGGACATAACCTTGACTAATTATTAGCAATGGTAATGTGATTAATAAAATGAGAATTCCAAGTAGCTGCCATTATTAATAATTTTTATTTATTGAATAATAATGTAACTATTTCCAGTGGAAGTCTATGTGATAGATTGCATTTTTTAGTCAAAATTTGCTGCCTTTCTTTAACTGGCCCATCCTTTCAGGGATCCTCTCTTGCTGTGGAAGGTGTATAACTCCCACTTTATTTAGAACAACCTTGTGTACGTGACTTACTTTGACCAATGGAATGTAAGCAGAAGTGTCATATGTCACATCTGGGCAGAAGTTTTAAGAGTCAAAGTGTGCTTTACCATTGCTCCTTTCAATCTGTCTGCGTTGCAAAATAAATAAATAAATAGAGACAGAGAGACAGATAGGGAGAGAGAGATAAAGAGAGAGACTATGCTAACGATGGATGGATTTTAAAACATATTAATAGGGTGTCAATTACTCCCTAACTGTTCTATACATTGCACATCATACTAATCGATATTCCAACAGACTTTTCTTTATAGAAATAAACAAATTAATTTTAAAATTTATATGTAAATCACAAAAACAATTTTGTAAAATAAGAACAAATTTGTAGGGCTCACACTATGTTTTCGAGACTATGAAGCTATAGTAATCAATATGGTGTAGTGTTGGCCTAAGTGTAAACATGTTGATTAGTGGAGTAGAATGGAGGATCCAGAAATACGATATG